TCCGTCTTTCTTTTCTCTGCGCTTACAATTTTGGCACGATTCTCTCACTAACTGAGTTTTGCAAGCGTGAGGGGGAGGGCGGGGCCACCACCTTCTTGTAGCCAATCAAATGAGGCTCTCGCTGACTCTCCATTTACTCTTATCTGATTGGTTCAATAAACACATCACACGCATATTAATCTTCATTTAGATCAGGATCGTTCTCGCTGCCAGAATGGTACTTTTAATGAACACGTACATTAAAAATAAATAAATAAATAACAACTTGATTAAAACATGATACTTTATAAGTTGTGTACCATTAGGCTAGACTCTCTTGTGCTCATACTGAATTGTGGGTTGGTGTTAACATTATTGGATTGGTTTGGCTTTACATTGAAATTTCATATATCATATAAGCTGCATACATCATTGAGCTGATGTTAAACATTACAGTCAAAATTATGTTATGTGACAATGCTCAGCACTATAATATCAGAGTGCTATACTTTGTAAAACCTTTTTACTATACCAATAAAGCTACATAAATCGGAATTTGTCAGTTTTTCAGACCATGTCTCTGTTTACGATATTTAACACTCAATTGTATATTTTGAAATTTCGGTATTGATTCTGATTACTTGCATGTGACTGATCAAGCTATTATATGAAGCAAGTATGAGCAACAAAATGCTTTTTTTGGTCCAGATTTGACTAACACAAAAACTTACACTTCAAATCAACATAAAAAAAAATCAACTTTGATAAAAAGGTCTTTAATGATGTCTAAATATATATCCAAATTCAAGTCACTAATTATGTGGGAATCCAAAGTTCCCAGCCACCAGTGAACACACAGCCATGTTTATATGTTTATATATAGAGCTCTACCACTGGCTCAGTGGTAGAGCATTGCGTTAGCAGCGCAAAAGGTCGTGTGTTCAATTCCCAGGGAACACACATACTGGTAAAAAAGGTATAGCCTTAATGCACTGTAAGTCGCTTTGGATAAAAGCATCTGCTAAATGCATAAATTATTATTAATTATTATTATTATTATTAAACAGCCATCTAGTGGTTACACAATGGTATTACAGATTATAAATGGTGAATAAGTTCCAATAAGTTAGAGATAATAAATATTTTAGTAATATTTAGTAAAATCCCCTTAAATTACAACATGTTTAAGTAAAAAAAAATATTACTGTTGGTTCAATTATTATTTAACCAAATTTTAGTTTTAAAAAATGGAATCGTCCCTGATCAGTAGACAGGTGAAATTAAACATGTATTAAACTAGTGCAGATACTAGGCCATCTTTAAGTATCATCAAAATTACAATATTACAATAAACTAATATATCATATATAGCCTGTTGAGGAAGAAAAGGATACTACACAGCTCGAAATTCAGTATGAACACAAGGGAGTCTAGCCTAATGGTACACAACTGCAGTCAATCCGTTTTGCAGTTCTTTAAACAGTTTTCGCTTACAAATCACTGTTCACAGGCTTGCAGTACTTTTGACTGTATTTTAGTGAAAACAACGTGCCAAAAGTGTAAGCACGGAAAAATGGAAGTCAGAAGAATGCAGATCATATTTATTTTGCGTTAGCATGAAGCTGCAGTTTCACAATACATGAATTACACTTACGAGTAACAGTAAAATGCTGCAAATCATTTTTTCTTACGCTTGAAACACGATTTACACCTTTACAAAGCTTCTCTTGCGCATGCAAATTTAATTTACGCTTACAGTCTTATGTACACTTCTACAACTCTTACCCTGCGTATGCAAATCTTTTAGGCATTATTTTACCTTCATAAAAGTGCATTTCACTGTTTAGGTGCCGCAACTGCAAAAGCTCAGTCACCCTTAATCTTTAAACGGGACTCTCACACACACACGCGCGCACAAATACACAGGCACACACTCACACACACACACACACACACACACACACACACACACTCACAGTATGTGGTAGTTGATGCACTGTTAGACTGTCTGGCTGTGAATTGTTAGTGGAACGTGTTTATAGTAGATGTAAATGATGGTTCCTCTGTCTGGACATCTTTGTGAATGTCACATATCCACTAAAACCACCAAACAACAGCTGTTTCAAACGCACTGCAAATAAAGTTAGTTCTGAGAGAAGCATGTGAGCAATGATGCTACTTTGATATTTAGTTTTTTTGATGCAGTCAGTCACATAGAGGCATTTATAAGCATGATTTAAGCGTGCTTTCTGAGGCCTGTGTGTGTGTGTGTGTGTGAGAGAGAGAGAGAGAGTTTGATTGTGTGTGTGTGTGTGTGTGTGTGTGAGTGTGAGAGAGTGAGTTTGGGCTGGTTCGCATGTTTCTTGTCTGCAGGAGCTGCTGGAGATGCTTTGACCTTCACACTGCAGATGTTGATCATTTCCCAGTGTAATCAAAAGCCTCTCGGAGTCGATGCGTTACTGCAGTGTGGTTTTCATTAACAGAAACACAACACCGATCTGCACACACACACACACACACAAATGCTGGTCTTAACTCAACTTCCTTCTCTTTTCTTCCTGTAAATAATTGTGTTTGATTTGTATGTGCAGCTTTAGCTGTATCTGTACACACACTCACACTCACACACACTAACAAACACACACTCACTAACAAACAAACACACACACACACACACACACATGATTGTGTGTGTTATGAACATGAAGAGCAATATGAAACTGTCTGCATTAACACTGTGTGTGTGAGTGTTTGTGTGTGTGTGTGTGTGTGTGTGTGTGTGTGTAGAGTCAGCCACTGTGAGGTTTTTCACATGGACACACTATTACACTGAAGAAAGACATTTGGTAACAACATATGCTTAGAAACAAATAGAAGTAATATTTTATGAAAACATGATTATTGTTTAGGCAAAAAAATAAATGTAAAATAGTCATTAAAGGACATCTTCACAGATTTTTGACACAGGTAACACAGGTGTTTTTTAGTGAATTAATTGATTAAAGAAGTTCCTGCTGATCACCAAGGCTGCATTTATTTGATCAAAATACAGTAAAAACAGTAATATAGTGAAATATTATTACAATTTAAAATAACTGTTTTCCTGAAATGAATGACTGTCATGAGCTGATTCTTTTATTAATAGTTCAGAAATACGGGTTACCAGTTTGACTCAGTCTCAAACACTGCCTTTGTGAAAACTTGAGCAAAGCGAGATTTTATTTAATGTTTAAGTAAAACAGACATTAAAACTGAAATATACCCCAATGAATGAGGATTTTACTGTCATTAAGAGTGATAGGAGAGACATGACACCAGCACAGTTTCCTGGGACAAACACTCTTATTATAGAGTTCAGCGTTTTATACTCCAGTGTTTGACAGCAGAATCATGTGACCGATCAGAATGCAGTGTTGCAGAGAGTGATTGATGAATATAGACAGATTTCAGATGGCTAATGTGTGTGTGTGTGTGTGTGTGTGTGTGTGTGTGTGTGACAGGAGCTGTAATCCGCGCATAGGGGACATCCTGCAGAAGCTGGCCCCATTCCTGAAGATGTACGGCGAGTATGTGAAGAACTTCGATCGTGCCATGGAGCTGGTGAGCACATGGATGCAGCGCTCTGCTCAGTTCAAGAGCGTGGTCCAGAACATCCAGGTCAGAGCCGCCTGACATGATACGATGTGTGTGATGTGCAGTGTTGCGGGAACGCATTACAAGTAACGCGAGTTACGTAATCAGATTACTTTTTTTAAGTAACTAGTAAAGTAACGCATTACTTTTTTAATTTAGAAGGAAATATCTGAGCTACTTTTTAAAATGAGTAACAGCAGTTACTTTGTTTCCATGTATTGAGTGACAGCTCTGGTGTTGCCATGGTGACAGAAATCAGGAGTAAGTGCAGAGCGTTGTGTGTGAACATGATCTTACTGTAGTTCTAGACTAAATATGAACATGTGTTTACTCATCTCACTGCACAAAAACACATTCAGTGTTCCTCAGAATCAATAAAAACAGTTAAAGGGCAAACTCAGAATATTATACAAACCTGCAATAATTAAATATGTTAAATAAGACAAATATCATTTATGTATTTAATCCCATTTTATTAACCAGTGTCTGTGCTACTGACCTTCGATGATCCAATTCAACCATAATATAAGCAAAAATAACACATTTGTGTTTGATTTGTGTTTTTGCTGAATAGTGCTGAACTTTCTTCTCCTGCGTCATATTCTTCATGCAGTTTGTTTGAGCGGCGCCCTCTACTGTACAGACGTGAATTTACATTTCCTTCAGCCTGAGGCGGATTCATTTCACTTCTGTTGTGAAAGGGCTTTTATGTTTGTAAAAGAATAACTGTTTATAATAAAAACAAACAAGCAAGCCCGGCCCAGATTTGCAAAGTAACTCAAAAGTAACGTAACGCATTACATCCATAAAAAGTAACTAAGTAACATAATTAGTAACTTTTTTAGGGAGTAATGCAATATTGTAATGCATCACTTTTAAAAGTAACTTTCCCCAACACTGGCGATGTCTGATAAACCGCAGACTGTTCTCTGAACATGTGTGTGTGTGTGTGTGTGTGTGTGTGTGTGCAGAAGCAGGAGGTGTGTGGGAACCTGACGCTGCAGCATCACATGCTGGAGCCGGTGCAGCGGATCCCGCGCTATGAGCTCTTACTGAAGGACTATCTGAAGAAGCTGCCCGCCGGAGCTGCAGACCGCAGAGACGCTCAGAGTGAGCTCACACTGTTCAAACACAGACTACTTACATTTACATTTCAGCTACTTATACATTAATATACGCCATTACAATGTGGAAAGTCTAAAATCCTGATGATAATAATAAGAGCTAATACTAATAATAGAAATATAGGTAAATTTTTATTGATCTGTTTGTTGAATATATTTAGATTTATTATTATAAATTGTTATATAAATAATATCACAAATTAGATTTCTCCTGGACAGCAAAGTAGTGTAAGTCTATTATTGATGACACGTTTTATTTTTCAGGATTCACAGATGAATAGAAAGTTCAAAAGAACAGTGTTTATTTGAAACAGAAATCTTGTGTGACATTATAAATGTCTTCACTGGCACTTTTGATCAGGTTAACGTGTCACTGATGAATAAAAGTGTTACTGACCCCAAACTGTAGATGGGTAGTGTACCAGAAGTGCAAACTCTGACGGTCAGGATGGCGGCTCTAAAGCAGTGTTAGAGGCTCATCATCTGAAGTGAAGGTGCAGTAATGATGTGTTCACTGGGCTCGTCCGCTGGTGTCCATGCGTGGCATCTTTATGAAATGCCATTGTGACGCACCACCACTGTTCACAAATGCTAACTGAGCTCGTTATAATCATAATGATGCTGCTGGCTGAGTCTGGACACGTGCAGCGCCGACGGCAGACACATGCCGCTCTATTTCTGAGTTCGATGTATTTCTATAACTGAGTGTTATTTAAAGGCGTTTTTCACGTGGCATTTCACATAGTTTTTTAGTTAATATAAAAAATGAATATGTTCCACTTACACAAAACCAGTCATAAGGGTCAATTTTCTGAAATTGAGATTTATACACCATCTGAAAGCTGAATAAATAAGCTTTCCATTGATGCATGGTTTGTTAGGATCGGACAATATTTGGTGAGATACAATTACATTTTACAAACCTATTGATTGCAACATCCTTAATATATATATTTATATATATTTATTGAATTTAGCCTTTTATTCCTACCATATCTACTATATTTGTGTGTGTTTTTATGCACCACAGGGAGTTTTGAGTGAAGCGTGTGTTGTTTAGTGACAGTGTGTTTAACTGTTTGTTTGTTTATTGTGTGTGTGTGTGTGTGTGTGTGTGTGTGTTTCAGATGCTCTGGAGCTGATCTCCACCGCAGCAAACCACTCCAACGCTGCCATCAGGAAAATGGTTAGAGCCGTATTCATCTGTTCCTCCTCTCTTCCGTCTGTGTCTCAGACAGGATATGCTGTTTCCATTTCCTGTCTGTGCGAGCAAAAAGGCTGTCCTGGGTGAAAGCGCTCTATATCACTCTCACTTCTCTATCTGCCTCTTTCTAATGCTGTCATGCATTAGGTCAAGGTCACAGTTCTTCTTTTCATCGAATGAGTCTGTGAATGCAAATCTGTATGTGTGTGTGTGTGTGTGTGTGTGTGCGCGCGCAGGAGAAGATGCACAAGCTGTTGGAGGTGTATGAGAAGTTGGGCGGAGAGGAGGACATCGTTAATCCAGCTAATGAGTTCATTAAAGAAGGCCACTTCAAGAAGATGTCGGCTAAGAATGGCAGCGCACAGGACCGATACCTCTATCTGGTGTGTCTGTGTGCTCCATTAAGCAGTTTATCTGGATTTCAAAAGTGTTCTTGCAGCAAGGGTTATCATGGGTTGTGACTTGAAAATGAAATTCTCATCATTCACTCATTTACTGTTGTTTCGAACACAAAAGGAGATGTTTAGCAGCATGTCCATGCTGCTCTTTTCCTCATGTGACGGAATCAACAACAAAAAAAGGGTCCTAAGGGGCCGTTCACCACAGAATGTGTTTTTGCAAGCAAATGGGCTGTAGAATGAAAAAAATAAAGTTCTTAGCTGAACTTCTTTTAACTTGAGCGCCACATTTTTAAATGTTTCATGCGCGAGACAATGCAATCTCGATGCGAGAGCAGCGGTCAAACACCTTACTGATTCCAAATTACATGACAAAAGTTGTAGTTAGTAACGTAATCCATTACTTTACACATTTTAGGTAATATAATCAGACTACTTTTAGATTACTTTTGACCTAACTCTTTTTTCACATTGATTTAAATAGGATAACCTTCCTAATCTACCATATCAATATAAAAATGCAAAGAAACAGAACATATTTTCCATTTGTTGTAATTAACAACATGAAGTGCGTTAAACATTACATAACGTCAAGGTTTCCCAAACTGGAGTTCATAAGGCAACTGAGTGTGTGTGAGTTTAATGAAAAGCAAATAATTAATTAAATCATAAAAATATAAAAATTAAAATAAATCATATTAAAATAACAAATCATAATAAAACACTTACTGAAAAAATTTAATATTTTATGTGTTTACCTGCATGTAAGGACTTCATTTGAACAACTTTAAAGATGATTTTCTCAATATTTAGATTTTTTTGCACCCTCAGATTCCAGATTTTCAAATAGTTGTATCTCAGCCAAATATTGTCCGATCCTAACAAACCATACATCAATGGAAAGATTATTTATTCAGCTTCAGATGATGTATAAATCTCAATTTCAGAAAATGTACTCTTATGACTGGTTTTGTGCTCCAGGGTCACAAATGATTTGTCTGTGCAGTTAAAGTCAAAATCATATGACTTGAGAAGACTTGAATATAGTGCATGAGTCATTTTGTTATGATACATTAATGCTGATCACTGTATGCTTTATTTGAATAGAAAAGAGCACTTTCAACCTTCTGCTAAACGTCTTACTGGAAGAAATGAAACCTGAAAGCTTGTTCCTGTTATTTGCTCATTTATTAGAGCTTGAGGGCAAGTGAGCGTACAGATGGAGTATGCTGGTGCTGATGATGTGTGTGTGTTTGTGTTTCTCCAGTTCAATAACATGGTGCTGTATTGTGTGCCCAAGCTGAGGCTGATGGGACAGAAGTTTAGCGTCCGAGAGCGAATCGACATCGCAGGGATGGAGGTATGACTTCAGCCGCACGTTCAGCTGCGTGTTTGCGTTTGTGTCTTCATCTCATCGTGTGCTGATGTCCTCTCGTTGGTTGAAGGTTCAGGAAAACGCCAAGCAGAACGTCCCTCACACTTTCACCATCAGCGGCAAACAGCGCTCGCTCGAGCTGCAGGCCAGGTGAACGCACAGCGAAAGTCCTGATGTTTCTCATCAATACATTCACTCTGTCTTTGCTACTAAAGTTTCATTTAGAGCCACTTCAAACATCATGACATTCACTCTCACAAAGCTCTTTAGGGCACTTGATATTGAAGGAGTATGCAGTGTTCACAATGTAGCTTAAGTGTACATAGAGGAATCCTCCTGTATGAGCTCTTACCCACCGCGCCTGCGTGGAGTCTGATGTGTGTTCATGTCTGTGATTGACAGGACGGCTGAGGAGAAGGACGACTGGATAAAAGTGAGTCGATCTCTTTGCAGAGAAATGGCTGCTGGAAGACAGACACGCTTTAGCATACTGACTTACTACAGAAATAATATACTGTAAATAAAAATACAGTATAAATAATATAATGTCATGTATTTAAATTTTTTGTAATCACATATTTGTTATGATGAAGTTGCAACTTAATATCAAATAGCACACTAGTTAAACTTATAATTACTTATAATGCTATAATTAAGTACTTTACATGTGCTTTAGTATGTTAGTCAACACATCAGAATAAGTGCACTTCTTTTACACTACAAGTGCACATTCAATACAGTTAAACACTTTTTTGACAAGGGTTTCTGGTGTCATTTTAGCACAACTGCAACTGTATTTCAATTGTTATTTTTATGCAATTCGTATTTCAAGTCAACATGAAAATATAATTGACTGCATCTAATGACATTAAAAAAAAATTAGTTTCTTGACTCATGTTCGTATTCATATTGTGATCAATTCAGCTATTCACTTTATTCTAAAGAAGAAAACTGCTTGATTTCCCTCTGAAACGACTCTAAAGCCCTCTCATTAGTTATTATTTGGAAGCTTTGTTTGTTTAGGTCCGTCTTCACTAAAAGTGTGTTCGTCAGAGCAGTGGAAACAAATGCTTCTTTAGAGTCAGTAAACTGATTCGGTTCACATCAATCTGACTGGTGCTCCGTGATCGAATGGTTTTTCAGTTGTGAGCAAATCTTCATCATCAGATCATCCTCATCTGTTTGTAGGTGATCCTGGCCACGATTGAGAAGCACAAGCAGAACAGCGAGACGTTCAAAGCTTTCAATGTCTCCTGCAGCCGTGATGAGGAGCACACGCCTGACACGCCGGTAACTCGTCCTTCACACGCTCAATGCTGTATCTGCTCCAAACTAGCCTAGTCCTGGCTCCTGCTCGTCACACTGGAATTATGGAATTATTTAATTGGAATTATTAACATTTGGGAATTCTCTTTGGTTTTGGAGTGAAATATGACATGGGCATGTTCATTGGGTGATCTAGTGGTCACACTTTAAAAGCAGGATCCTGTGTTTCATCATCACACAAACACACTCACACATCTCAAGTCTGGTGGCTTTGCTGTGTGTTTAATGGCCAGTATTTGATTTTGTGTTTTGATGGCAGGGCCTGTTGAGCAGCGCGAGCACATGTGAGACAGACGGAGCTCAGCATGAGAGGGTGAGACACACACACTCACTCACTCACTCACACACACACACACACACACACAACCAGAGGTGGACAGTAACAAGGTACATTTACTTGAGTATTGTACTTAAGTAC